GATATATTCTTCATAATGTTTGATTGGCCTATTTTGCAACCAAAATCTGGACTCTTCCCAACTAAAAAATCCTGCTCTCCACAATGAAACTCACTTTTTTCTTTCTATTTCCTAATGCACTCAACTTTTCATCAACAGCTGGCTTGTGACTCAGTTATCTTAGGGCCCTTTCAGGGTACACAAAGCGATAGCTGCTCTTTAAATACAACATAAATAAAGATAAGAGTCTGCCCTACAATATGCTGCGCCTTTTTCTTGGTAATTCACCCTCAAATCATAAACTTTTATTTAGGTCCAAAGGGCAAGAAAGTCAGACCCACCACACATGATCTCCCGCTGGTCTGAGGGCAGAATCAGTGCCCACCCTGATACGTCTATCATTCATTTAGTGAAATGAGAGAAACAGAAATAATGTAGAGTTTTCTAAAAGTTATAACTATTCAATTTATAGGTCTGAGTTTATTCTCAGACTACATCCTTCCTACTTTAGCTCTTGAAGACCTTCTCTTTATAGAGCAATGGGGACAACAGAGAGTTAGTAACGTTTTTATTTGAAAAAATGAAACTTAGCCATTCTGTTGTTCTCCCCATCTCCTTTTTCTTTTTCTTTTTTTCTTTTTTTTTTTTAACTGATCCAGCATAAAATCTAAATGCCTGGAAAGTACTTTCCCATAGATGGATAAAAGTAGCTATTCACATATAAAGATTAATCAAAATTTTCCAAGAGTTATACAGACCATAGAGTTAGGATACCTTGAAATAGCAAATAAGATGACAGTTACCACAGACAAAAGATGAAAATGGAACATATAGCCTGAAAGTTGAATGTGAACCTAAATACCTAAAAGTTTTTCCATCAGTTAGATTTCTAACAAAAATTAATATGAATGAAATAAATAATTCTAGTGGTTTGGTGGATGCACAGAGCATCCCAGTGTTAGCAAAATGGCAAAATTCATATAGCATTGAAAGTTGGACTTCAAGTGCTAAAACATCTGATGACATCCAGAGAAAATATGAAGCTTCCACAACCATCAGAGGACAAACGTACAGAAATTAATTTGATCAGATCTCAAATTTGTCTCAACAACCTTCTACTTATGTCTTGATTAAATATCACGATGCAAAATACCCACACCAAGGAAAATTATGTTACAAGTAACAGGAAGAAAAATGTAGCACAATTTATTTTTCTTAACAAGAAACTGTCATTTAAGCACAAGAACTCAGGTTTACAAGATTAAAGAGTGGCTAGAAATGTGTGTTTATGAAAACTAAAAATCTCAAGAAGGAAAAACAGAAATGGCATGTTTCATTCATCTTGCTTAACAAAGAGCTAGAGTTTAAATTTTGATACTACTAGTTTGATACTAGTAGTATCAAAACATATTCAGGATTGTTTCTATAATTTTATTAAAATTATTTAGAATTCTATACTTATAATTTTAAAAAGCCAAGAAGGGAGGTTGATGAATTTCTGTTAAAAGCCATTCCTGTGTTACATGTAACAGACATGGTAATTATTTGTTTACAGTGTTTGTTTAATAAACTATCCATTTCAGTTTAAGTGAAATTAACAAAAAGTATGTATAGACATGTGATTTAGAGATTAAACTTAGCCTTAAAATGTAAACGAAATATGAAAAGTGTCCTAAAAATATTTTTTAAATCATATACCCAAAGGGGTACCTGATTCCCTCATACTCTGCTGTCCTGATGGCCACAGCCTTGTTTTGTAGGTGGCCCTTGATGGCAGTTCAGGACCAGGGCACCAGTGGCAAGTTACTTACCTGTCTCTTTACTAGCCATCTCATTCCCTCCTAGACTGTTCTGTGTGGAGTCCCTCTCTCCTCAATTTTAGCACACCATGTGAACCCTCCCCTCCTTAAATCCTAGCCTCCTTTAAAACAAACAAACAACAACAACAACAACAAAACACCTGATGGAGGTTCCTCAAAAAACTAAGAATTGATCTACCATATGATCCAACAATCCCTCTACTGGGTATTTACCCCAAAGACTTAAAAAATCATATCCATAAAGATATTTGCACACTGATGTTCATAGCAGCATTATTCACAGTGGCCAGGACATGGAAGCAACCAAAGTGTCCTATGATAGATGATTAGCTAAAGAAGTTGTGGTACATATATACAATGGAATATTACTCAGCCATAAGAAAAGATGAAATACAGCCATTTGTGACAACATGGATAGAACTCAAGATAATCATGCTAAGCAAAATAAAGCAGACTGAATAAGTTGAAAATCACATGATATCACTTATACGTGGGATATAAACCTAAAAGCAACAAAGGAACAGGACAAACAAACAGAGACTCATGGACATGGACTATAAACTAGTGGTTACCAGAGGGTAGGGAGTGGGGAAGGACAGGAGAGGTAGATGGGGCAAAGGGGGCCAAATATAGGGAGGTAGGAGGAGGGTGAAGTGGGTAAAGGGGATCAAACATGGTAGCTGAAGGAAACTAGACTTTGGGTGGTAAACACACAATAGAATATACAGATGTTAAATTATAATGTACACCTGAAAATTATATAATTGTATTAACCAATGTTACCCCAATAAACTTAATTTAAAAAAAAAAAACATGTGGCTCGCAGATATCTATCTCTAATTCTGCATACTTTCAGCAGTTACGCACTCAATAAGATATAGCCCTAAACAAACCTCAGATGACTGATATGAGAATTTTCTCTAGGATTGGATCAGGGATAATCTGGGATAACACAGAATACAAATATTATTCATCACCTATTTTGGAAAAATTACAGTCAATAATTCCATGATGCTAAATATAAATACTTTTGCAGAAACAAATCCTTCCAACCAGAATTTAATCTTCACTCAAAACTAACCATTACCTGTGCCTAATGGCCCAGTGCAGTCACAATGCCACCAAGGAGCAGGCCAGTCTGAATATTTGGTCCAGAAATTCTATCCAACTGCAGAGCAAAGAGCACACACCACTGACTCATCTAATTTTATTAAACTTTCCCAAGTCTGTAAATTCTGTGTCACAAGCAAAGCCACTAAATTCTCATCCAGAAGTTGTTGCTTACCCAATTATTCCCATTTCCCCCAAAGTTTTTATTATTAGAAGACGTCTTTGAGGACAGGTGGAAACAAAATGATGAAGTGGCCTTTCAAACTCAAAGGCCAGGGCAGGGCGAAGGCCAACGGCTGGGTGTTTCCTACCCTCACCTCGCTCTCCACCACCCGGTACATGTAACTGCTCTGGCTTGTTCTGTGTCCTCCCCGCTTTGTTGCATTCTGGTGTGACCTTTTCTTCTTCACGTAGGGCAATCGCCAGAGGTGACGCAGAGACAGGGTGGAATTTTTTTAAGCAGTTAGAAGTGAGAGGGTGTCTGCAGGCTTTGAGAAAAAAAAGCCCCTATAAAAGTAACATTTGAAGATCTAACCTTCCCCATCAAGAAACGAACTTCTCTTATTGTCTTCATTATCACATACCTCACAGACTCTTCAACATACTGCGATAGTTTTTTCCCTTCTATCCTCAAAACACTTAATATTTCACTTCCGATATTTGTCTTTTTGAATGAAATGGATATCGTGAGCTCCCCAAGGAATTTTTTTAGATTATAATTAAAGTCATGTTGAGAAACACTTCCTCTAACTTCATTCTTTGAGGTATATATATCATTTATATAAATTATGCAGTAGTGATCTCCAGATACGGAGGTGGGACTTGACGTGCATCCGACCATGAGCAGGTCCAGACTTAAGTACATGTGCAGTTGAGAACGACAGAGAAGGAAGACTGGCAACCCAGCATCCCCGAAAACACACTGTCACCTGCCACCGAACGGCTATTTCCTGGAGACAACTGCAGGTCCTTCTAGAAAGAAACATCAACAAGGCCGGGACCAACGATTTCACCAGCACAGACCGTCTCTGACGTTCCTGGCGCTGGGCTAAATAGTGCAAGTGAAAAGGAGAGGGAGAAGAAGCCATTTTCTTCAGGAGCTGCCTTAGTCAGCTTGGACTGAGTAACAAATTAGCAGAGACTAGATGGCTTAAACAATAAACATTTATTTCTTCGTTCTAAAGGCTGGGAAGTCCAAGATCAAGGTGCCGGCAGATCTGGTGTCTACTGAGAGCCCCTTTTCTGGCTTGTAGATGGCTGTCTTCTTGTTGTGTCTTCACATGGCAGAGAGCAAAGAAGCAAGCTTCCTCTGGACTCTTATAAGGGCACTAATTCCATTTGTGAAGGCTCCACCCTCCTGACCTCATCTAACCCTGATCACCGCCCAAAGGCCCACCTCCTAACACCATCACACTGGGGCGGGGTAGAGTTTCGACATATGGATTGGGAGAAGAAACAAACATTCAGTCCATAACGGAAGACACTCTAGACACTAAAGCTTACAATCCATGAGATGAGCAATCTACCAAGTACACTGGGAACACAGAGGAGGGAGAGATCTATTCTGCTTAGAAAAAGAGCACAGAGACAGTCCCAAGGAAGAAATGATATTTCGACTAGATACTGAAAAAAGAGCAGGAGTTGACTAAGGAGAGAATGCGGGAGGGACTCCTTTAACCAAAAGAATGACTCTCTAAAAATTTCTAATTGCTTAGATTGTTGAGGTTTCTTCAGAAGTTATTTGTTTTCATATTATCACTGATTCAGAGCATCTACAAAAGTGACCTACTGAATTTGCAGAGGCAGCAGAATTTTTACAACAGCAATAATACTAGGATGAAACTTAATAGCTTTACTTAATAGATTACCGTTATGGCCAAGAGCCCACACGCATACTCCAAGCCCTCTAAAATCCCTGGGATGCTCCATTTGCTGCCCCAAGCTTACATTCATTAAGTACCTATTTTCTTTTAATGTAAATTGATAAAAATTATAAAGCTATGCATCTACTTTTAAACAAAACCATTTTCAGTAAGTCGCTGAATACTTTACATGAACAGTAAGTTTTACGAGATGATTTGTTACTCTTACCTCCATGGGAAAAGCTTTGAAATTAACTGTGTGCTCAGAACCACGCTGATTTTCTCTTCCCCAGTGAAATCTGACTTCATACAGTTCAAACTCATGCCCTTGAGGCAATGGACCACCCGACAGAACTGAAAAAGAAAATAAACTCTATTTAATTACATCTCAAATGTACTCCTCAGCACAGCAATACAAACATTGGGAACATGTTTTGTCAAACACCTCTCCTCAGCCCTATAAATTAAATTCATATAGCCAAAATGAGAAATATATCAACTGTGAGATAAACTCAAATTATGTGGGTTGGAAATTCTTGCAGCAGCTATTCAGTGGCTATTGTAGAAGTTCAAACACTCTGAAATACTTGGTAATGATAAGTATATCATTTAACTTTAACTTTGTTAACTTTAGATGAAGAAACCAAACTCAGTAGCTATGCTCCCCGATATATAAACTTAGCACTGATCAGGAAACAAGACTATGATTTGAGTCTCAGACTGACCACTAATTTGCTATTGACCTATCAATAAGTTAAACCTTCTTTACGGATCATCCGTTTGTACTAGTAGGCTTTCAATTTAGAAAATAGGGGTAGGCTAACAAAACTATACACAGAGACTTATTATTAAGCCAATCTGATTTTTCAACAATGAAATCACACTTAAAAAGCAACTTACCTGTGTCACATACAGTGCAAACAAAATAAAATTGTGATAAAATATTAACCATATTTAAAATATTAACATCAGTCCTACAGGGCTCTGTCTCTATTCCTCATTTCTGGATATAATCCAGAACTTTGTCTCAAACAAAGGCACTCCAAAGGAAAACAAAAATTAAATTTGAACAAGAACCTATCTTGAAGCAATAAAATACTTTCTTTAGTTAAATATTCCCTAATATCACATGGAAAACCTTGAAATAAAGTTTATGTTCCAAATGGCCAATATCGACACAAATAGAAGTTGTTTGTATTTTCCCTGTAAAAACTGTTCATTTTAAATGGTATCAGCTAAGAATTATGGGTTATTTTTCAGTCAAGAAGCTGACAAAATTCGCCCCTTTCCCCCAGGAGTAGTCTCTCTCAAACCGATTAGCGTTCACACTTGGGATGTGGGAGAAGTAACAGTGCCCAAACTGCTCTGCTGAGGAACGGTTTTGATGTCCATCCTCACTCCAAAACTCAAAGGAGGAGAAAGCATTTTGGTGCAGCAATGTTTGTTTGGTTGGTTCTTCATCTGATAACTTGTTCCAAAAAAGAATTTAAGGCTGCTTCTATCAAGGTACATATAAGAAAGGCAGAAGCATAAATTAGAAAGAAGAGAGAAGGGGGAAAAAAAAGACATGAAGAAAATAGATGGAGAAATGAGGCTACCACACAAACAAATGTCATGAAGTCCTTGTTCTACGAATCTGCTTCTAAGCTTTCTACCAGCTCAAAGAAGAAAAAGAGCATCAGTAGCAAATAGCAATTTTAATTTTTCAAGTGCATAAACCTCATCTCGAGGGTGGAAGGGGCGTGGGATACATGGCCTTTAGGAGACTATCTCTCACCATTTTAATGTTCTTCCTCATACTTGGTCTTATGTGAGTCTCACAGCAAATCCGAGGGATTAGCATTATCATCCCCATTGACAAGGACAAAAATACAGCTGAAAGGGGTTAAGTGGGACCTGCCCTGGTCACCCAGCTAGCAAGCCCCAAGAGCCTGAAATTCCAATCTTCTGACCCATGCCCCAGCATGAGACAGGGATGCGGGAAAACAAATTTCAGTGTCTGTGAGCATGAACTGAAAAAAAAATGAGTTCTCAGATAACAGAGAACAAACTGGTGACTGCCAGATGGGAGGTGGGTTGGGGACAGGGTGAAAAAGGGGAAGGGATGAAGAAGTACAAATTGGCAGTTACAAAATAGTTATGGGGATGTGAAGTACGGCATAGGGAATACAGTCAATAATATTGTAATTACTATGGATAGTGTCAGGTGGGTACTAGTCTAATCGGGGGATCGCTGTGTAAATTATGTAAATGTCTAACCACTATGCTGTACGCCTGAAACGAATATAAAATATTGAATGTCAACTATAATTAAAGAATAATTTTTTTAAAATGAGTTCCTTAAGCCTTAAATTTCTAAACCACAGTCCCTTCTTTGAGTCCTACAGCTCATCTTATTTCCCAGGAAAATTTTTTAAAAAAATGTAAACCCATGGATCACAAAGGGTTACAGAAATCTGGAACTGCAGTGCAGGCTCACGGAATATCTTCTTCAATAACCACCCATGCTGTTCATGGATGGAAGAAGGTAGGAAATGTTCTTTCAGCCAGAATGCCAGTTTCTGAATACCCTCAAAATTCGCTCCTTTGCCTTGGCTGTCCAAATTTGGTCTTAAGGAAAACTGGGGAGAAGGGTGGGAGTCTACCCATGGGGTCACCCACCTCTCAAACCAAAGAGGGAAAAGCTTCATGGAAGTCTCCTGCACCCCCAGCCTCATCACCAGAACCAGGAAACATACCCCTCCCCCCGCACTGGCAAGCACACCTGATGCTAGACCTCAGGGGGGATTCTGTAAGCCTCTGCTTTTACAAGAAGGCGAAAAACTGTCTTGAAGGAGGCTTAGCCCCACATTGCTAAGGAAAAAGAAAAAGGAGTGTTGTGAAATAAAGTTCATGTGAAATGGAAGGAGGATTAAAAAAACCTTTCCCTGAAACCTCCTCATCACATACACTCAGCACATAAACATATGCACGCCAGCATGAGAGCGCACATACGCGCACGTGTGTGCACACACACACGCATGCACAGTGTTTCTGAAACTGCTACAGAGCATCTGCTGGTCCTTTCTTATAAAAATAAATAATACAACTGATGACAACAGTGATTTCAGGGGACCAAAAGGAGACCCACATTTCAAAAGTATACTCCTCACCTGTTCATTGCCCAATATTTCTTTAACAGTAATGAAGCCTTTAGTTTAAAATTTGGTCATATTTCTAGGGCATATTTTAAATGCCCTAGAAATTCAAACTCCACAGATCTATGTCTTGATGGAAAGAAGTTCAAGGCCCACAGGGATCCATTTAATCATCCTTTCAACAAGTATTTTTTGATCACCTACATTGTACCAGGCACTGTATTAAGTGCTTAGGACATACTGATTTTTGACAAAACAGACAAAATCCATGGTCTTGTGGATCTTACATTCTATGAGGTTGAAGATGAGCAAAGAAGGGAAGCATTTTACCCAAGCCTAGTCCCAGGGCGATGTGACAAAGAAGCAGTTTTTAGCCAGGAATCAGGCACTTTTCACTTTTGCTGCCGATGAATAATCTAAAATTAAACCAAACTAAAATCACATGGCTGTACAAAGCCATAAAAAAAAAGTCAGAATTTTATGAGGTGACAAGTAAAAGCATTCCCTGTTCATCCCCCAAGAATAATTGTGTTTATAGACTAAAAACGAATAGTACTTCTGTTTTACCCATTTCACTACATCCTCTTAAGGCATTATTCTTCCTTTTTATAGCTTTTTGTTAAAATAAGGAAACCAAAAGGTATACACTTCTCCTACATTTACGATTATCAAATTTTGCTGAGTGATAGTTTGTCGCTATATGGCAGGTTTATTAGTTGTGATGTCATTAAGCTCGATAAAATTATAGTGAAACAACAGTGAAACTCGTATTGATGACATGGTGCATTTCCTTAGAATAACGAACTTGTGAAAAGAATATAAAATAAACTGATGTCATTGCTACTAGATCCATTTTCTTTAATGCTCTTTAACAGTCATGGCAATTATGCTTATGAGATGTAAAAAGAGACCCTTCTGCAAAATGTGAGAACCCCATAGAGACATGATATATATACATTTACCTAAATCTGTCTAAGCTTTTATAATCCTTTGCCAAAAACAAATTTGCCAGGTTCGAAGGTTGTTAATCAAGGCTTAAGCTTATCCCCCTTCATTTGGTTTGAGTTCAACACACACATTTTAAGATGAACTCCATGCCTGGCCCTGTGCTGACCACTGAATAATACAAAGAAAGTATAGACTCGCTGCTGGCAAGGTATTCTCAGGGCTTAAGGAAGTGAATTTAATAGTTTAAATAAATTGCATCAGAAGAATACAAGGGTCAAGCCAAAACCAAGGTGCATCGGAAGGTCAGGGAACTTTCCGGAGGAGATCACAGCTAAGCAGAGCCTTGAAGAGTAAGCTAGGAGAAGTGAGAAAGTATATTCCAGCAGAGAGAAGAGGCTGAGAGGAGCTCAGCAATATGAAACAGCTTGAGCATGTTCCAAGAAAATAAGGTCAGTGGTTTCCAATGGCCAATGGTGGGCCTCAAGATGTGAGCATCAGGAGGGGACCTGCAGCCCATGCTTAGGGGCTGGAGTTCAGCACAGAGGGAATCGACAGCTTTAAAGCAGGAGACTAACATTTTTGCATTTTAAGATATTATCCGCATGTCTGCATGGACGGTGGGCCAGCAAACGGCAATCTAGCCGGCTAGGAAGCCGCCATCAAAGCCCAGACAATGACGGCGAGGCGGGAGACAGCCTGCTGGGGCCACATCTCCATCAGGGAGGGAGATCAAAGCTGATGGTCCCTGGCGTGTCCCCTGAAGGATCCAAAGGCCCAAATAGTTCATTCTCAGTAGGTTTAAAGATTTTATATCCTCAGTTTAACGTTTAAGGAATCCCAAATTCATTCACGAAACATTCCAAAAATAGTATTAATTAGTTATTTTTTAACATCTTAAGTCTTAAAAGCAAAAATTAATGTTTTTATTGTCTTTCGCTTTTAACCTATAGCTTTCATAGTAAAGAATAAATATCGTCAACAATATGGAGAGAAGGCCAATCAAGCTGGGTCTACACAAGCAAAATGAAACAGATTAAGGCACCTGTCCAGATAATTCAAATCCCCCAAAGTTAACTAGCACTAAATATAATCATTAAAAAATTTGACCTTGACATTTTATATAATCAATGCATAGTTTCTTCTTAAGTGAAAATAAGATATGTTTGGCTTCATCTTTAAATCAGCAAAATTGCTAGGAAGCACTATAAAATGTTGTCATTTCTTTAAAGTATGATTAATAATAATAAGCTAGTCTAAAATTGAGAACTA